AAAACAAAAAAGGGGTCTGATGAATGTTGTTCTTACAAGTATGAAATAAGATATTTCTCAAGATGAAATAAATAGATGATAAGAAAGGTATCTAGATATTAGGAAAGATTTGAAAGATTTGTTTTGTTTTTTTTTTTTTCGACAATCGAAGCAGTAACCCATCTGCTGGTCTCGCCCTATCGAAAGGTTTCGCACCCACCCGTGACGTCATGGTACACAAAGGATCGTAATCCAGAATGGCGTGTGACAATATTAAAATATTGATTAGCCAACGTATGCGACGTATGCACTTTGTCCCTGGCACAAGGGTTGCACTTAAAAGGGCCGGCGCTTGCAATGGATCGTGTATCGTATCCCAGGTAGGATAGATTGTGGGCGATTTTAATCAGGGACCTATGGTCACGTGGATCTTTACAAATTCTTTCTATCAATGTGTCCATTTTAAAATTTGCGCTACTATCGATATGTAATTTATAGTATTTATATTTTATTTTGAATATATTATAACGTTATTAACTCGTTCGAAAATAAAATACAAATATTTAGATTATATTGATAGAAAGTAAATGGAAAAAATGAACACAGTGATATAAATTATTAAAATTGCATTTATAAGTGTGTGTTGATAGGATTAAAATAAAATTTGAGAAAAAAGAAAAATAAGTTAGAATAACGCGCATTTATTTTTTTCCCCTTTAATTTAATTTAAAAGAATTGACATTAGAGTTGACGTGACACGGTCGGTGAAATCACTTTGAAAATTTGAAGTTTCTATTTTTAGCAAAGAATAACTCACGAATGGAACTTTAATATCCATGTACGATCGCAAACGTACACCTTGCGGTCAGTACGCGGTGCCAGGGACAAGATTGGTCAGACAACAGTGCCTCTCTTTTTCTCTTTCTCTCTTTCACAGATCCTTTATGTCGCCCGTTCGTTCGTCCGACCGCAAACATCAAGAATGGACCACCGGGTCCCATTAAATTTGCCTTTTATCTCTAACAAAAGCTTCTTCTTCGTGGAGTTTAAAAAATAAATGTATTGTACCTTTATATGTCATTTCTCTCTACGAGAACAAAAAACAATACTTCGTACCAGACGTCAAAACAAAAGAATATATATAAATAAACAGATAAATAAATAATATTATAATAAATAAAATATGATTTAAAAAATCGGTGCTTTTACAAAATGGAAGAAAAAAAAAGAATCAGTGTGAAAAAAATAAATAAATTAATGTGTGGATAAAATAACAAAATAGAATAATTAAAGGATTCGTAGGTGCAAAATATAGAACTAAAAAAGAAGAATAAAAAAAGAGAGAGAAGAAAAGTCAGGGTCGTGTCAAAGTTTAGTACAAAAAAAATAATAAAAAAAAGGGTAGACGAGATTAGGGTAAGGGGTTCAATAAAAACAAAATAAAAATATACCAAAAAAAAGAAAGGAATAATCAAAGAATTTGTCGGTATAAAAAAACGTGGAAGCAACGAAAAGGAAACAAAAAAAATCAAATGAAATGAGATCAGGGTTGCCTCGTGTTTGGTATAAAAAAAAAAGAAAAAAAAAACAGGAAAAGAATTCTAAATAAATAGAAAATATTAAAAAAAAAGTTCGTGGGTGTTGGGCATAGAAAAAAAATTAAAAGAAAAAAGAAAAAGAAAATAAAAGAGAAGAGAAAGATCAGTGGTTGCATCAGAGTTAAACTATACAAAATATATAAATAAATAAATAAATAAATAGAATATAGTTTTAAAAGATTCGTTGTGGTGTAAAACATAGAGGGAAAAGAAGAAAAATAAAACAAAAATAAAAGAAAATAAAATGAAGGAAAAAGAAGGGAGATCAGGATGTAGCCAATTCGCAAGCAATTCTCGAGACGCCTCAGGCGGTCCAAGAAAACGGGATACGTGCGAGAAAGAAGAAGAAGAAGAAGAAGAAGAACAAGAAGAAGAAGAAAAAAAGAAAGAGAGAGATAGATAGAACAGGGAGAATCCTTCGTGGACCAAGAAGGGGTCGGAAAGAAACCATAAAGAGCAGCTGGGTGAAAAACCTCACCCGCTACGACGAGAATTAATATTCCAGACAAACGTGACAGATAGATCAAATCTGCATCTCACCCAGAGCGCTCTCTGGTGTCAATTCCAACGGATTATCGCTTCCTTTCTCTACTCTCACACCACCCACCTCCCCAAAACACCCAACCCCCAACCACTTTTTCTGAAACCTTCTTTTCTCATTGCTAACTTCCCTATCTGCTATATATATAGATATATATTTATTTTTCCAACTCTTCGAATCTATCCCAACATATTTTCTTTCTTGCTTTCTTTATTTCTTTCTTGCTTATTCTTTTATTAATATTGATATTGTTATTTGCAATTCAATTGTGAGATTGAAATGGATATATTGTTATCAATATATTTCAAATGATCGAATTAGACGAACGAAAACAATATTTATAATATAAATGAAGACAATTGTGAGAAATTATATAATTATTCAATTATATGCGATGAGAATATTATTTTGAGTATAAATAATAAAATTCATTTTTGTCTTGAATTCGCACAATTGTAATATTATAATTAAGATTTCATATCTATAATATTATATTTGATATGAATAATGTTTAATATATACAAACGGAATAATATTTTTATTAATTGAGAACTCGTTCGAATTGTTAAAAATTAATTTAAGAAATAATAATTGCATTTGCAATCCATCGAACAAATTTCATCTAATATAAGTTTCAAAACTATTTAAATATATATTTTCCAAATTAATTATCCGAGAGAAGAAAAAAAATGTTATTTAATTATACACTTATAAATATAATTCATCATAGTTACTTATATCGGGTGTAACAAATTGTAGGAGGGGGATAAAAATTTGATGAAATTTGAACGTTAGAGATATTTTCAAAAGACAGATGATTAAGAATAAACTTAATCGATAACAGGTATGGTCTAATGAATTCGAATAGGTATAGGGATGAAAACCAGAACGATAATGACGATGACGATGACGATAATCAGGGTCCTGCTGTCATCGGTTGATCTTACCTGGGCCGCATGCAGCGCGTTAAACGAAACGAAACGAAACGAAACAAAATGAAACGAAAAGAAAAGGAAAGGAAAGAAAACTCTGACACGAGCAAGCAAGCAAGCAAGCAAGCAAGCAAGCAAGCAGCACGTACGCAGGCACGTTCGTACGAACGTTAGATGAATGGCTCGTGCGTACCACGTGGCCAAACAATAGGAAGATTCTAATTAGGCTGCTTTCGAGTTGGCCGGTTTGTAAAGTGACAAAAAATTCTGACAAAAAAGACAACGAAAGGGGCAGAACCAAGGAATATACATATACATATATATATATATGCATGTATATGTTGTTGTATATATATATGTATATATACATACATGTGTATACTTGATTTATACATATATCTAGTATGTGTGTATAGATACAGGGAATAAGGGAATAAGGGACCAGGACGGGCACGAGCTTCACTCGCGTTCTGCTACGAAAAAAGGGGTTAACTCTTGCGACAAAACGGATAGCTAAGGGAGAAAGGGGTGCTGTTGGTTGGTTGGCTTGCTGCGTGCTTCACGCTTCGTGATGAAGCCTTTAAGGATAGGCTTGGTTGATCCGTCGGTCGTGTGTACCGGATAAACTCGATCCTTTCTTTCAAATTTTATATAGAAATCTGTTGGTTAAGTATGTAGGTAAAAGTTTCATTCAGAATATAAGTGTTAATGTGTTCATAATTTGTTACTATTAATATAATAGAATTATTTGTATAATATAAATGTTTTTGAAATATTCATTTGATAAGTATAACGTTAAGATTTTGATCAGATGTGTTAATGATATATTATATATAGTAAAAGTAATGAAGTTCACACTATAATAGTATCGTAATAAATGTGCAAAATTCATTTGATAAATAAAACTAAATAAGTTTAATTAAATTATTTAATATGACACGAGATTCTTATGTGTACACTTTTTTAAGAAAATACCGTCGATTTGTTGAAAAATATAACCCACGAAATGATTCCGAGAGTGCAAACAAAAGGATTAATTATATATTAATAAATTGTGATATTAATAATAATAATTAAGATAAAAATAATTATAGATATTATACGTTTATGGATTAATCAAAATATATTAATTTTTGTATAATTTTTTCCCTAACGATATATAAATAAAATCTATCACAAACAGACAAATAAAGAAATTTATAAAATCAAAAACCATAAACGTAATTTCTATACAACAATATCGAACAACAACAAATACGAGAAGCAATAAATACTATTTCCCTTATCATAAAAAAAAAAAAACAAAATGTAAACCGTGTGTACAACGTATGACAATAGGAATAGAAAAAATATACAAAAAAAGAAAAAACATGGTAAAATAAAGATAAAAAGAAAAAAAAAAAGAAAGAAAAAGGTTTTTCAATGAAATGTGAACACCCGCGCGTTAAACCTATCGACAATGCAACGATGTGACCCCTTTGGAGGGATAGATGATGATTTGCGGAGGGGTGTAGAGGGGTATAGAGGCAGGTTCAACCCCGAACTCAAAGCGGGCGCTTTAAATTCAAAAATCGAATCTACCGCATCGACATTGTTCGTGTTCGTTGGACCACGTCCGACATCAGATGGCCGATCATGAACGTACTTTAAACCCTCGAAACTTTTTTTTACCTTTCGCTTCTCTATCGATAATTCCTAAGTGTCCGTGTATTAGTAATTTAGGACGTACAATAACTTCCTTCATACGTATAAGTTTATTTTCCTATTTATTCCCGAAAAAAAGAAAAGAACTTTTCATCGGACAATTTTTATTATCGAAAATTAAACTCGATTATTTTTTTATAAATCTGTCACGTGATATATAATCTTGAATGATAGTATGTATCAAGAAGGGAGGAATGAAAGATAGGATAAAAAAAAAGTGTGATAGAAATGTAAAATATTTCTTACCGGAATTGACGGTGTTGGTGTCAGCATCGACAGACTCGGTTTTTTGCTTTTTAGGAATTTCTTCCTTGTCATCGTCGATATCCTCCGTTCGTCTTTTCGGCGTCGAACTTGCACTAGCTCTAAGCTCGATCGGACTTCCGGTATCCGGTGCTGTACCCTGAGGCGTAGGTGGACTTTCAAGTCTACCACCCCTTTTGTTGATAGGTGCGGAAATACTTGGTACCGAATTAAGTTTCGAATCTTGATCCGTAGTTTTAAGGGCAAGAGCGTCCTCAGGATCGGAGTCCTCTGGTGCTGCCGTAGCCGGAGGACTATGACACCCTTGGAGAGTACTGCGACAATGGTTGACCTTGTGCTCGATGAAACGAACTATCTCGCCAAGGGGATAGGACGCCCTGCAACCTCCGCATTGGACGGTGTCTGGGGACGTACTACTTTGCGAAGTTTCCGCTATAAAAAGAAATATATATATATACGTCAATATATAAAAAATATGATTAATTTATTTAATATTTATTTCATTAAATGTATAATTATATATATATTAAGAATATAATCAATATTGATTGATACCCCATTAAGAATATTATTATTAAGAAAGATAAGATTATTATCTTAATAAATTATATTTTTGTATGATAACATATTCAATTACAATTCCAAATTATACTTTGGATATTGAAAGGAATAAAAACGAAGGGGTGGGGGGTGTTTGTGGGAGNTGTTTGAAATATTCATTTGATAAGTTAAACATTAAGATTTTGATTAGATGTATAATGATTATTAAAAAATAATTTTATTATTAAGAATATAACCATTATGATTAATTAAATTAATGAACGATTCTTTTTGTGCAGAAAATATAATAAATATATTGTTAATTTATTTAAAATATTGATTTGAACTTAGAGATAAATAATATATTATACGGAAAATGAATCAATGATTCTTACAGAAAAAATGATAACATTTTTTATTGGAAAAAAAAAAACTAATTTAAATTTAATCAAGATAATATATCGTGGAAGATAATTTGTAAATTTTCACAATTCGATATCACGTTAAATATACAAATTAATTTAAATTTAATCAAGATAATTAATATATAAAGAAAGTAAATCGCAAAATTATTGTTTAAAAAAAAATCTACAATTTTTCAAGTTCGACAAAAGAAAAGTGAAAAAAAATAATATTGTAAATTAATTACAAATATATTTCAAAGAACGTTTATACAATCCTACTGCTAATTAATATCCCCCCCCCCAAAAAAAAACAGGAACGAACGTTCGTCTTGTAAAATAAACGATTTTTCATTGCTGGTTATTGCAAAAAATATAATCGATAAAGAAGAATTAATTTTTCTTAATTTATATTAAGAAAAATAAATAAAGATTAATACAAAAGTATCTTTTTCTCGAGCATTGATAAAAGGATTCACTTTCATATTGAATAGGTCATATAATTTACTAATGGTGAAGGGTCAGATGGTGTCCCGAGGTCAACCGCAGACGCAACAATTCACTTTTAAGTGTCCTCTAAGAGACTACCGAAAGAGATTTCTCCTAGAAACAGTCTGGGACATTAACATAGAGATTGGCAAGAGTTTCATACATCGATCTTTCCCTCCGACTGAGTCAAGTATCCATATCCATCCGGATGGGGTTGCCAGCTCGTCGAGAAAACAAGAAAAACTCTTTCCATTTCTTTCTCTCTCTCTCTGTCACTCACTCTTTCTGCCCATTTCGATGCTATTCTCTAGATATTTTCTTTTCTTTCCTTTTTTTTTATTTCTCTCTTTCTCTGTCCTTCGATCTCACTTACTTTTCCTAGTTGAACCATCAAGAACGTTTTCCCTTTTTATTTTTTCTTTACGGAGGTGGGGGTGGGGTGGAGGGGAAGGTGGATTAGAATGAGAGAGACAAAGAAACATTGTTCTTTCGTTCATTTTTTATTTCCTCTCTCATTCTCTCTCTCTCTCTCTAGTTTTTCTTTTTTTCTTTTTAAATACTTCTCATTATACTCCCACTTGTTTATCATTTATTCTTACTCTCTTTATCCCTCTCTCTTTCTTTCTCTCTCTTTCTTTTTCTCTCTTTGACATAAACTCTACCTTCCCTTTTTCCCTACCCTTTCCTAGGTGCGCCAACTCGGTTCGATTCTTTCTGGGCGGAGCTCTCTTGACCATTGGCCAAAGCGCAAACTCGTTTCGTTTTACAGTTCTTCCCTCTCTCCCATCTTTACCTCACTCACTCACTCGCTCATTCACTCTCTCTCTCTCCTTCTCTCTCTCGTTTTCTATCTCGCGGTTAAAATCAGAAGAATATTAAATCGAACGTTAAACGTGGTATACTCTTGAATTACACCTCATTCTTAAATAGAAAATTTGAATAAAGATCGTAAAGATCTCTTATAGATGGGAAGATTTCGCACAAACACACACACACACAGACATACTTCTTTCAAAAAAAAAAAAAAATATCATCTTAAGATAGCTCTCCTCTTTCACCGGAAACCTAAAGAAAGAAAGAAAGAAAGAGAGAGAGAGAGAGAGAGAGAGAGAAAAAGTACTCGTACTTTGACGTGAAAGAAGAGTATAAGATCTTAATCATTTTTTTTTTCATCTTTTTTCCTTTTCTTTTCATTCGTTCATTCCTGAACGGAAGAAAAAGAAAAGGAAAATAGAATTAGATAAAGATGATTTTGTGATAAACGCCATAAGAAAAAGATACATCGGTCACAAGGCACGCGAATCGAAAGAAAAGTTTCTTAAGGGAAGAACAAAATTTGTGTTGGGGGATGTGAAAAGGATGAAAAAGAATGAAAGAGAGAGAGAAAGAGTATAAAAATGACGAAAGAAAAAAGATGGCCGTTCGTTTGGATCTAGTGAATGGATGACGGACGAACGGACGGACGGACGGACGGACGGACGGGTTTTCGGGCCCGTTATTCGCCTACGATTCAAAAGCGCTCGGTTAGAAACAAGAGACGCGCGACCGGTCGTTAGCGACAATGGGCTTTTGTTTTTTCGGGGGCAGATGTTGGACCAAAACGATGTTGGAGCGACGGCTACCAACGGTACGACCGCTAGAACTACCCTATGAATTACCTAGGGTTGAGGTACTTTTTAAGATTAGGTTGAAGAAGTACATCCGAAGATAACTATATTATCCTTTCTGTATATATGTATATTTCTTCTTCATTTGTATATAAGAAAATTTAACTCACACATTTTTATCTATTTTTTATTTTATACGAATAAGTATTCGCGTTTACATTTTATCGTAATTTTTATCATTTTTGTGAGACCGAATTATCAGAACTTGTCGAAATGGATAATTGAATTATAACGAGTCTTTATTATTTGTGTGTGTGTTTTTTTTAGGGTAAATATTTATAATGTTACATATATTTTTTGTATACTATTTTATTTGGTTCTTAATTTTTTTGTCTTTTTTAGTTGATATTTAATAATATAAATTAAAAAGTGTAATATTATCGCGTTTGTATTTGATTGTTTGGAAAGTTTTCTCGTGCCGATTTACGTAATGTATGAATATTATTTCGTTAATATATTATTTTCAAAAACGTATAAATATATAAATAAATATGTATCGTATCAATGCTACTTTTCAGGTGACCAAAAAAATAATTGAAAGTTTGAAATTATTTACAGGATTTGAATTGAAACTAAATATATAATAATAATAATAATTTGTAAATGATTGTGGATAGAATATGTAGAAATTGATAGAAAAATATTTTAAAGTATAGAGACAATTCTTCTAATATTTAATATACATGTGTGTTGGTATAAAACAAAAGAGAGAGAAAGAGAGAGACATATATAACTATACCAGTTATCTTGAGAATATAATCGATTCCACTTTCGAAGCTTGGACAAAGTTACGACATATGATAGAAGAGGGTTGCTTTGTAGTCTATATATATAT